AGCTGACTTTGGGAAAACGTGATATGCCCCAAGGAATTTTTTTACTGGAATCCTGTGAAACATGGGAAACGCGGAGCTGAATTTTTAAAAAACATCTAAAGAGACTGAAATTTAAAGCTGTTCTGCTTAATTCCGAAGAGAAAAAAAGGGCAACTGGGGCCAACTGCAGTTAAGTAAAGATATAAAGTTTAGCATAAGCAACACAGAGAGAACCTGGCAAATTTCTTTTTATGGGAATTTCTGTAGACATTTAGATACGACAAGCCATCCTTTGAGAAGTAAGCAACCTGGTATGGAGGGATATGGAACTTCTTAAAAGTTAGAGCAGTCTGAAAGATACAATCCCAAGAGGACAAAGCATCCTTGGACATTTTGCTGCTAAAAATTTTTCTGCTGAACATTGCATGGAGTTTCATTTATAACAGTGCTAAGAAGGACTGGGAGAAAAATGCTTAATTACTTATGGCATGTAACAAAAGGAAGAAGTTAGCATACTCGTTTTTCTTTGAAGAATAATAATAAGAGGCCATATGAGTGCTTAAACATTTGCATCACATTGTGACAGAGCTTCTAGGACTTGCATAAAGGAAGGAAATTTGCATTGATGTATGTACATCCTCAGAATTACAGCCATGTCAGTCCCTAACAATCATGATGAATGAATATAACCTGCAGCCCTCACCCTCAGAAAGCTGTAGGACACCTACAGAAACAGGTGGGAAAGGAGGAGAAAGATTCCCTGTAACACCAGCAAATAATTAGATACAGATTAAAAACCCAACACTTTCATATGATTGAAGGTTTCTTGGAACACTTTTTTCCCTTAAAAGAATTAAGGTAGAATTTATTAAATTCCTAACTGAGACACGTACATCTTAAATTCTCTGATAACAGGATGCACCGTTGAGACATGGGGTTGATCTTCATTGCAGAAGTAAAGGGCAAAAAAAAGAAAACAGTAAAGACACCAATAAAAATTTTTAGCTTACTATCTGCCATACCAAAATACTAGAAGTAATTTTACTCAAGTATGTCAACACACTTAAATTCATTAGAAGTGATGACTGTGGAATTCTTGGAGAGAAATACCTGCTTGACCATCACACTTGAATTCTTCAAGTATCATTTTCCTGTTGTTCATTTTGAGATCATTTCTTTGTTGTTTTTTTTCCCCCCAATATACGTAAGATGGAAGAAAGAACGGCAAGCTAACATTAATTATCTTGCTGAAAGATAAGAAAAACTAAAGACAGGCTCAGATTCTCTAAAAATCACCCAACTTCAGGGATTGAGAGATGGGATGCTTCCAGCATCCTGTGCTGCAGGGTTGCCTGTTTCCAACTGAGTTGGATGGCTCACAGAATTTCATAATTTCATTAAATTAAAAAAAAAAAAAAAAAAAAAAAGTTTAGCTTTTTATGCAAAGCAAGAAGGTTATTTGACTCCAAGTATAGACTTCAGTTGCCTACCTGCTATTTGAGTATACTGATCATAACAAAACCAGAAAAGTTTGGTAAGGTGATTTCTGAAGGATCTAAATTTTACAGGTGAGTAAACTGTAGTGACATCTATACATACCAAAAGCAGCAAATGAATGTTAAGTACAGCCTTCTCAGCCATGTGCTAAAAAACACCTATGCAATGCATGAAAACATCTTTCACACTATATCAGCTTAGTATATAAAGCAAGCTTGTGATGAAGCTCCTGTGAAAACTGCTGATTTTAAGAAAGGAAAAGTAAATATCTTTCCCCATGCCATGCAGCAAGTTACAGTGTCCAAATTCAGTTGGAAAAGAAAAGCCAAAAAGGAATACTGTTAGGAATACGATTCAAGCTGAAAGAAATGACAGCAATAGGTTTGTAGTCAGAAAGAAAGAAGAAGGGAAGGAGAGAGGCAGACATTAGAGGAATTAGCAGGAAGAATTCCCAAGGCCAGTAAATATCAGGGGCTGCAAAGCAGTCAAAAGCAGAGTGAAGAGATTTAGAGTCAAGCCATTCAAAGGGTCTACTTAGTTGACCAGAAGGCAGTCTCACATTTCAAGGTTTCCTCTTTGGTACAGCTAAGCTTTTCAATGGGAGGCCTTGACCCCAGGGATCGCTAACTAAGAAAACAAATATGTTTTCAAATGAATGTATTGGCACTGTCAGAACTGACTGTATACAAGATTAAATGATATTTATTTTCACTTTCCAGAATACCGTATTAAATTTTAGAGACACAGACAGAAACGTTTCCAAATAAGACATGAGAATCTAAGCATCAGATTTTCTGCATCAGCTAGGATTCAACAGCAGAATTCCTGTTAACTGATCTGGCTAAGCCTCCCGTGAAAATGTCAACCTGAGGCTTTCTTGACTTCTGCAGTCTTGCTGAGGATAGTGGGAAGTGACAAGTGCTGTCAGTCCATTTTGGTTCTCTCATGGCATTTACGTAGTTTCTGAAAATGGATTAGATTTGGATCTGGCATTTTGGATTTGCGCTGCTGTGTCTCCCTGACTAAAATAGAGAGGTTTGCTTTCTTTTGATAAAGAACAGAAATAATTCTGTAATGTATATTAAAAAGGGAGAAAAAAGCGACTCTGGATAGCCATCCTGAGATTGTCTACATTTTCCTACGTAAAAACTTGGTTCCAGGAAGGGGATGCCAGGCTGATTGCCAAGAACAGTGGCACTCAAACCAACAGCTGCAAGTGCTGGAACAGCCCTGCTCCACTCTTCCATGTGGATGAAACAGGCTCAAAAACTACTTAGTTCTGAATCTTACCACCTTTGAGAAACTTGCACACTTAAGGATTTAGGTTGGACCTTCTTTATATCAAGTAAATTAAATCAAAGTTATAACCAGATTGAGTATCTTCACTGATTCCCATGGGAGAAATATTGTCAAAGAAATCTCTCTTCAGAAGCTACATGATTGACATTACTGTTCAAGAAATGTGGCATACAGTCATAAAGAACTGTTCAGAAACCAGTCTGTTTGCTGCCAGTCAAGAATAACCCAGAAGACATAACGAGGATTTCATAGTTGGTGTCCCTTTTCCTTCATGTCACACACCAGTAGTCTTGCCTAAACTACCTGAACACACATGCCTTACAGTTTCTGACTACGTAGATACTACAGAATTAATTTATGTAACAACTGAAATAAAATAGGAACAGGTTAAACTGGCTTGGAACTAAACCAGACAAAAATACACCAAACAACAATTCTGTATCCTCCAACAAGCTCATGACAACATCTAATAGGTTCTGCTTTGTCTCTGTTCACATAGGAATTTGCTAACAGCTCATCTGCATATTCCTTAAGACAAAGATACTTCAAAATCATTTTTATGCTTCTATTCCTTCTTGTGCTCAAGCAGCTTCACAGACTTCTTGGCTACCATGGGAACAAAGTAGGAACATGTTAAATGCAGTGCAAAGTGGGGGCAGTGGAACAGAGCCCAAGGGAAAAGCAAGTTGCCTACAACAGAGCACGTAAACATTACATGCAGTGCTATTTGAAGGGCATGTTGCACTCCATATCTGGATACATCCCTGTATTCATGTATGGACCCATTAGCAATCGCACAAGCATTCCTGAAGAACCTCTGTTATATACTGTCCCAAGATGGACAAGCATGAACTTGCTAGCTGAATGTAAAATCCAGAAATTGTGTTCTGAAAACAGACCAATAAAGACAAATAGAAGAACAGACAACACTGTTTCAGCAGAAATCTGAGGATGTGAATAAGGTGGAACTATGGTGAGGGCTTCAGAACAGCTACCAGTGGATACTGAAGCAAAGGTACCTGTCAGTAAGAAGTATGACAAAGCAGGAAAGTGGTTCTCACAAAGCACAGACATGTTGGGTCAAGTGTCCTTTTCCTGTTTGGCAAGTCCTTTTGTCTTTGTGTCCTTATCGTCCTGATGCCTTACCAAAGTGTAGAATGATGGACAGCTCTTAACAACATACTAGGGCTTAATTCTGGTACATGAACCAAGCCCTTTTTTGCACAGCACTAAAGTCTATACTCCCCTCTGAATTCCTTCTTTAGAACCCATGTCCACTTCAATGCATGCAGCTCCCCAGTCCTTCCTTGCAACCCGTCTCAAGACAAACGTGCTCGGCACACTTTGCTCTATCACAAAGCTGAAGCCAGCACTTTCAAACAGGCTGACTGACAGGCGATGCTGCATCAGCAGCAGCAGGGCCAATGCCACCCTCCCCAGGAGAGCAGAACATTCTCTCCCGGGCACACTCACATCACACTATCAGGTCCACTGTGTCCAGAAACCAGGCTCCATCCTGTAGGCTGCCACCATCCTGCTTAAGTTGGCAGTACACTCTTTTTTCTCTCCTAGGAGGCTCAGCGGGTAATTGGAGCACACCTATCAGACTTCACTGAGGCACTCCTGGGAGTGAAGATGTGTTCTGTGAATGAGGGTTTACTAAATAGGACCCCACAAAGTACTCAAGAAAGCAAAACAGAAAAGAATGCTTGCACTTCTGTGATGACCTCACTGCCAAGATTTAAGCTGAGCAGTGCATAAACACTGGATGGAATTGAGACGCTGTCATGAAGACAAGGAAGGAGGAACTTCAAAAATCAAACCAATTAGTGCCCTCCTTCTTCTGCTTTCCCATCTGGTAGCCAGAGGAGAGCTGACCACATACAAATTCAGGACCAAAAGGAACAAGAAGTTGTTTTGCACTTTGTTTTGTTTCCCTCGGGTGACATCACCCTGCTAAGCCTCCCCTCTGCCACTCAGAGAGGGCGACAGAGGCAGAGCAGCATGTCCATAGCAGGGCAGCCAGACTGCTGCCTCTTGCAGTGCTGCTTGCTCCCAGGTAGCTGGCTGTGAGGGGGCCTGCAAGCAGGCTAATTTAGAGCTCTAAAAGCTAGCAGTAGGAGTGCAATTAAGCCGTTTCCACAGACTGCTGACCAAATGCAGCAATTTATTGGCTGAGTGATTGGATTATTCATTTGCAAAGCTAAGAGAGGGCATTTTCTTACCACTTCAGTTGGTCTGTAGTACTTGTGATTGACTGTCACATGAATCTTGCCAGTCTCTTTGCATCGCCCAACTTCATTTTCATTCTTTCCTTCCCACCTGTAAAGAAGATAAACATTTAATCAACCCATAATTACTTTAGTGCTCTGATCTTACCAACATTTGGCCTGCTTTCATTTACTTGAGGCTGGTGTCAATTCTCCCTGCAGGACAGTATAAACTCATTAGCTATAGGAACAAAGGCAGAGTTTAGACTTGAATGTAGCAACAATGGCTTTTGAAGTCTCTTTGTTTTGGTTTTTGAATCAGTGGAAGGTCTAAAATACAGGACTTCCAAATTAAACACATAATGTGAAGGGAAATAAAACTTCCCGATTTCAGAACGTTTCATGTATCTTCAAATAAATATGACAGTGAAGCTTTTCATTTGTGGATTGGTTCAAAGTTGTTTAAAATGGTTCTTAAAATATTTTTAAGTCTTGTATTTTGGCCAGCAGTTTCAGGAACACCTTAATCTGTTAATGTTACGGAAGAGAAGCTCTGTTTGAATAGCATTAAGCTGCATAATCTAATTTTTGTCTAACCAGGAAAAGCAAAACAAAAACAATTCTTGAATTTTCAGTCTTAGCTCAACATGGCTTCACATACATGTACCGTAAACAGTACTCAATACCTGTGAGGTTACAGTCAGCTCCTTTGTCTAAATTATTTTCATATGCGTTGAACAGCCTGAAACTTGCTGTGATTTATGAGATCTGGTTGCATACTGGGCTATTTGGGTAGCAACTGTTCTGGGCAAAAATTTTGGGCAGCCAAAGAGGCACGGTTTGATGGGTGAGTGGCTCTGCCTTTGAAGGGGCAGACTGAAGCCAGGAAGCCTGAGGACAATGCTCCCTCCCAAAACAAATGTTTTGGATGAAACATTTAGGAACATACACTGATATCTCAAAACCAATTCACTGAAGGTACAGAATGCAGTTATGACTGAAGCCCTAACCTCAGCTTGTTTTTTTGTCTCTGAGAATATTGTGGGACTCTGAGTCAGACTGGCACAAAAACAGCGATGAAATTCTTTATATTTTGTATTCAAGTAAAATATATATAGTATGATTCAGCACTGTGATATAGACTAGCTTCAGTCACCATCAGTGAAAGACATCTATCCCTTGCCTCTCTCTTACTAACTGTGCCACCAGCCATTGGGATTTTGTCACAGATTTGATTTTCCTTTGCTCCCCTGCCCTCTCCTCCAGGCTCCCAGAAGAATTTAATTCTTTGACAATTTCAGCCTTCATTTTTGAGTTTCTAGCCCCAAGGGCCATGGAAGAGAGTTTGCAAATGTGACCTCTGTGTACCCATGAAGGTTAAAACACCAAAAGGCAAAAGGAAATACCAAATATGCATTATTACTAGTTTTTTTAAATCCCATCATTTTTTTAAAGCAAAACTCATGACTTTTGGATGTCAAGCAAAGCCTGTAGGATGATTGCAAACACTTAATATCAAAATAATTTCTAATAGATAATAGCCACGGTAAAGTTGGCTGTAGATAGCCTTGCCATGACACTAAAGATGATTTATAATTTAATTTTTCTTTCTTTCTCTTTCACCATTGCTCTGTTTGAAGCCTACACTGTAAAGTTTCCATTCAGAAGCCAAAACTAACATTAGTCCCTCCCTTTAAAGGGCAGAGGGTAAAAATGTGCAGGACTCAAATGAGCTTAATAGAAAACTAACCGTCACCAGTAAAACAACAGGAAGTGCTTAGATCAGGAGACATCAGTTGCTGTTGGAGGTCACTGAGCAGAGAACTCCATTTAACACCCAACAGTCTCCAGAAGGCTCAACCGAGCCAGTAAAGACTCATTTACTGTCACTATCAAAGTTATATAACAATAGAAATAACTTCAGAAGAAAACTCCACCCATTTTGTTCAGCCCAGCAATGTGAAAAGTTCACAGGGAAAAAAGTGCTTCTCATTGTGAACAAAGTAGAACTCGATAGCAACACTTTTAATTACTCCTGGCACCTCTGTGCTCACAGCTGGGACACCATACTGCTGATAAAAGGATAACGCTGAGCCAACCTGACACCAGGAGCAAGACATCCAGTGAGCTGAGCAGTTCCCCCTCTCCTCTTCTAAGAAAAGGGGAAAGAAAACACCAACACATCCCTTAATTTGCAGCCAAGTTGCAGTCAGAATTATTATCTGGGAAATGTAATGCCAGACTATGCTGAAGCATGAGTGAGGTCGAAGAGGCATGGGGAATCCTCACATTGTTGTGGTTTTAGATAGCTCCAGCCACATGGACTACTGAATTGTCTGCTCCAAGTGGGCAAGAAAACAGCCTTGTGTACTTTGGGAGAAATGCAATTAAGGGAAGTTTGTCTCATCAGGGCTGGGCTAAATTCAAGGAGGTTGGGGAGCAGATCCCAGAGCGGTGGAGCCCAGAGCTTTCAGGCGGCTGTAGGCTTTCGACAGAAGATTGGTCCTGAAGGCAGTGAGCCTCTACAGCGAAACCATTGCCAGCCCAGTGCTGGGGGGATGCACACCTATCAGCAGCCACATAAGTTTCCATAGAACTCAAGAACTTTTGCACTCTGGATTTCCATTAAATTTAAAGCTAATTTCGTATCTGCAAATCACTACTTCCTACAATACTTTTCATCAGCTGTTCCCTTCCCTCTTTGTCTGTGGAGATGTCTTACAGAACAGTAATAAAAAAATGGAAAATAATTGGCATCAAGCTTCAAGCTATAAAAACATCCATGGGTACAGAGGATCTCCTGAGGATGAGGAGTTGAGATACTTGGTGGGGTGTGAGGAGAGGAGGGAGTGACCCAGGGGAGTCCTGATAATCAGGGGGTGAAAGAATAGCACCACAAAGGACCAAGTGGTCCAAATGGCTGTAACTGAGTAGCAAACAAGGCAAAATGTGGGTATTTTTGAGGTGGCCAGGAAATCAACTATAAGTGAAACTTTTCACAGAAGCACAGACACTCGACTCACTCATGCATTTCATCCCGTTGCTTAACCTTTATGGAGAGGTAAAGAACTAATAGAACTTCATGAAATATTGCAAATCATTATCCCAAACTGTTTATGGGAAAAAAATCCTATCATACAGTCATTAAAAATCAAAAAGTGTCTTGGTAGAAAACATTTTCATATTTGAAATATTACTTAAAATTTCTAGGAAAATTTTGCTTATTCTCCAAAGCCAATGTAGGTGTCATTCGTGTGGACTTCAGAGATTCGTGACCTGACTGCCAATACGCATGATTAGCCAGAGCAGTTCATCTGCCTTGATGCTTTATAAACAGCAAAACTCGCATCATACAACAGACCATGGATGTCTTGTCTCTTGCAAGTAATTTCTTGTAGGGAGATTTTAAAAATGACTCATAGTATGTTCCTTTGCTACCATCTCAAACTTAGATACAACAAAACATTTAAGGATTCAGAGATTGCATAGCTGCTCCCTTGTGCTTGGATCAAAAGAATAAAGTATGCTGCCACACAGGGATGCACTCACACATTTGCTCAAGAGCTGTGATGAATCAGGCCTTCAAACTCTTCAGTAAAGGAACACAACTAAAACAATACAATTGTTGGTATTAAACTTCCAGCGTTGCCAAGCTCAAGTTGCAAAAACTTATATCATGATTCCCCACACTCTGAGACTTTAGTACTGAATATATGTTATGTGGCCTTTTTTTTTTTTTTTTTCTGATTTCATTTTTTTTTCAGTCTGTTGCAAATCTTTTCAAGCTGAAAAATGTGAAAGTTGGTGATAATGCTTCCTTTTAAGAAGGTTTTTGTTCACAAGAAAATGTTTTCTAGAAGAATATTAATGCTTCTGTGTAAATCAAAACATTCTAGAAAGAAAAGTTGTAGTTTCAAATAGGTTATGCTATTGACAACTTGCAAGAAAAATGCATTAATAAAATTGAAGGATGAAGCTTTCTGACACCTTCAGAAATAAAAGATTTTGTATTTTCTTTCAGAATGGCTTTAAAAATTCTTTTTACTTTAGTCTTTCTTTAATAGAAAACTACAAGAGAAACTAAACATTCCTGCTGACTTGAAATCAGGTATTTTTCTAAACTGCATTTGTGAGACCTATTTTCATCCCATTTGGGGAAAAGATATGGAATTTCTTACTGAATACCACACTTAATTCTCACCCTGTCCTCCCACAAGAGAAACTCTCACACCTCAGGATGTACAAAATCAGATAATTAAATTGTTACCATCTTCAAATCTGAGCACTGAAACAGTTACTAGATGTGCCAATAGATAAAAGCTTGTATCAATAGGAAAGTAAATTAGTCAGCTCAGCTGGAAGAGTTAATCCTCTGGCTGCGCTGGGCTAAGTGCTTCACAATGCCTATTTTCTACTGTGAGAACAGCAAGAAAAGTGGTACTGTTGTATGTGGAGTCCACTCTGGCCAGCATTCTTCACTGGCCTGGCTGGGCTCCTTTCCCCTATCACTGCTCCAAATGTCTCTAATTTACTTTTGAGATTCTGCTCCCTTCTTCCCCATCTGAGCACTGTAAAATACAATGCACAGCACCGGTCAGACAGCAGTGTTTGGTGGTCAAAAGGCAGACTGGAGGAACAGCAGTTGCTTTGATGATGGCTTTTGATGGCTCGTCTTCCATCATGACCAGCACATTGTTGGCTTTCCATTCTTTTTGCAGTATTTCAAACCTCATGCATTTCTGCCACCATACGTTCCATTTTAAGGTTGGAAAAGAAAAGAAAGAAAATCCCCTTCTCCCTCAGTTCATCTTTTGCTGCTGCTGCTAGTAGTTCACCTCATTAGACCTTACGGCTAATCTGCAAACTTCTCCCTTTTTGGGGTGATCTTTTTTAAAGAAGACCAATTGGCATGTAAGCTTAGGTAAAATTTGTGTTTAGAGCCAAATGACTGGCATAAAATATTCATTTTTCATGAATTAATTTTGATCCTGGAAGCAACGAATATTTCTGTAACAAATGTGCATGTATTTTTATATTAATGAAAAACACAATAAATCTTTCCAGCGCTCAAACTTTTTTTTTCCCCCCACATTGCAGACAGCAGCCTTTGTAGCATTCTGCAAAGAACTACGGGCGCTGTAGTGGTTTCGGGCTATCTTTGCAATCCTGTTCTAATTTAATAAGATTAATGACAGAAAATTAGTCAAGACAAGCGTTTGCCTGTTTCATTTACCCTGCTGTAGTTCAAATTATAGGCGGGAAATGTTTCCCCCAAGTACTACTTAATTAGTAATAAGTAGCAGGGAAAGTAAAAGAAAAAAAGTGTAATCCTTACAGGGGGGAAATATTTGTAGCTCTGAGGCTTTCCTGTTAGTACAAAGAACTGGATTTGAATGATACAGAGGATTATATAAATATAATTTTAAATTTCTCCTTTGAAAAATGATGTTAGAAGAAGAAAAAAATACACTGCAAGATAAACCTCAGTGTACACTTCAGAGTCAATTTCAGAGGGCATTCAGTCAGTCTTATTGCAGCTGTACATTTCATTACTCAAAAAATATGGTAAAGTTTCTCATCTCTCATTTTGGTGAGAAGATACGGTCCTGACATAAGCTATTGACTGATTATGACAGAGTATTATGCTATCTTTTTAGAAAAACTTTTCAGGCTGCCCTGGATGTTCAGTTGTAGAAGCTAATGTGAATTGTTTGGAAGACAAAAACCTTAAAAAATATATATTTTTTCAGTTAGTTGATGTGGGAATTAGGAATGGTTTTCTTCCTGTTCTCTACAGCAGTATTAAGATTTGACAGCTAAGATGCAACACTTCCTGCTAAAGAACAAAGTAGGGAAGGTTAAGAGCCCCTTCACACATGCCTGGTGTTTTCAGGTTATGAGCTCTGCCAATTGCTGCTTATCCCTTCATTCTTTTTTGGCCATTTGCTCCATCGTTCTGTCGATTCTGAAAAGTGCATTTTGATTTTAAAGGTATAGGAATATTGAGAAGCTGTGCCATCACTTACAACAGTGAAAAAGGCTGATGGAAACTTCCCAGGTAAGTTTTGGGGATTACAAAAAAACAACAACAACAACAAAAAACCAAGAATAAAAACAAACAAAACCCACCAAAAAAACCAACCAACCACCCTGAAACAGCACAACCAAACTTTCAGGAAGGGAGATAAGAGGAACAGAGCCATGCCTGTGTGTTCATTTGGAACTCTGGTGCACTGTTCTTAGATGCCTCATCATAAATTGCGAGGAAACAAATCAACAGGACTCACCAATGGGGACCCACAACACTAACTGGGAGGACTTTGCTGCCAGCTACTCCCTGAAGAAGATATAAGAAGATATATTCAAACTGGAGGAGGTGGGAGTAAAAAGCCCTCAGGGGTTTAAAGGAATGTGAGAGGTTACAAGCCAAGAGGACAGTGAAGGTAAGGGGTGCGTGCATGCTTTCTGATAAAGCATGGACTGGGCTAATACCTATACAAATTATGTGGGGTTCTTAACAAAACTTCCCAAGTCCTCAAAAATGCTTTAAACATTTGGTGCAATTTGAGAGATGAATGATGGCTACAGGATGAGCAGCAGGTCAGCTGTGACACTATCCCACCCCAGGAGCACAGAGAATGAACAGCTGGTTTATTTGGCTAGGCTAAAATGACCAGATTTACATTAGTCTCAAAATAATCAGCAACAAAATTATTACTGGCACCTAAAACGTCCCCTCAGTCCCCATGTGTACAGCTATTTATACACCACCCATGAATGACTTAAGAAGTTGATAATATATTCACAGTAAGAAATACCTCAAAAGAACTGTGGTGATCAGCAGAGTTCCATTTTTAAAGTGATTAGACACTTAGGCTCCAAAAAATCGACGTCACTAGATGTCATGTGGATTCTCATGAAACTTGGGAAATTACTTTTATTAATTAAAAAAAAATATATGTGTGAATAAGCCCTTGTATACACAGAATACCTGCCCTACCTCATCAGCTGCAGTAATACTGTACGGTTTCCCCAAGAGTGAAACTTAGGACTGATTAATTCAGTCCAAACACTGAATCTACTAATCACCACTATGAATGATATGCAGCCCACCACATGAAACCATATGTGAGTAAAAAATTAATAAAAAGAGAAATAATAATTTTTTAAAAGTGTGTTAGGACCAGCTAAATCTAAAATAAGCCTTTAGAATCCGCCATAATGAAGCTGTTCATAAATACTTTCTCTTGTATTTGAGTAGTTGTTTTTTTTTAAATTTTTTATTTTGTTCTCTCATGGGTTTGCTTTTTAAAGGACATATGCTGATTTGTCATCCCTGGTACATGCTGAGATTTCTCTGGCCACATACAGAGCAGAGAACTTAATTTTAAACCAATAGTTAAATGTATTGGCATAAAAAGAAACTGTGGTGATGACAATATCTGCAAAAAAGATATCCAGCTAGGCACTGATGGCACCGATAGGCTTCAGTTTCTTATTTTATGTAACAATAATAATAACAACAATAAAGTAGTTAAACAGATATTAATTCTTCCTTTTGCAAACAACATTAGGCAGGCAATTCTTGATATCACAAGAATTCTTATTTATATAGAGTAAGTGCATATATATTATATTAATTTCAATGCTTGTTAGGGAAAATTAGCTTATAAACGCGAGAGGCAAAAATACAGAAAAAGGGGAAAAAGAGGAAAGGGAAAGTGTACTAGAACTCTTGCTACCCTTTTGTCCTGTCAAACCTCACTACTGTTGGGGAATACGGGACAACGTGATCACAAGGGAACATCTCACAGTGAAGAGCTGTTACAAAATTTCAAGATAAACTTTTTCCCAAAACTGAGCTTCTGGGCTAGAAATTCTACTCATACAGTCTTTCCCTCTATCAAAGGTTGCTTTTTTTTTTTTTTTCCTGGAAGTTGATGCCAAAAATTGAAAACAGACTAAAAAGTCACTGAGGAGAAAATGTTATTACTTCCCCAGCCACACACTGCCTGTTCAAATAGTATTGTATATATCTGTGCACTTCTGCATATTTATTGAATTTGTCAAGTTTTTGTTCCCAAGTAAAACTTATTGGCCCTGTCAAAAGTTCACCAGCTGCACAAGTGACTTTGATGGCCTGAGGAACAGCCCTGGCGCTAGCGTCATGGAAGAGCCTGTGGCTTTCCTCTCCCTTTTCCAGCTGAGATTGGTATGTTGATGCATGGGGCCCAGAGAAGATACAGAAGGAGGGAAATTGAAAAAATAATAAACAATAAAAATATAAATTACGGAAAGCGCTCACCGAGCCATCCTGATTTTATTATATGGCCTTGAGAAGGAATTTTGTCTTTTCAATCAAACTATGTGGAATATGCATTGTAAACATTCTGCACCCACTGCTCAAGATTTTTATGGCTTGGTAGGAGCAGAGCTAATAGGAATACAGAGTGAGCTGCTACATAACCCTTGCTGTATGGCTGTAGCGTGGAAGGACTGGCATCAGCAGGTGACACCTGCAGAGAGTAAGAGCAGAACTGTGGAGGTATCTGGGATGTGGGACACAAAATGAAGAACTGGGCAGAACAGGGAAGGAAATGTATGAACAGAACGAGAAGATTCAGAAATAAAAAGGAAGATATACCTCCTACAGTTTTTCCTCATGATCAGCACTGGATATAACCACTGTGGCAATTGTTTATGTCTTGAAACTCTCACGTTACAGAAGTAGAAAGAGAGAGGAAAAAGAGAAGTGTATAGAAACAATGCTCTGTAACTCACGCGATGCAAAAAAGCTCAAAAAGTTCAGCCTGTGGCTGCTATCTCATGTTCATACTCACACAATGGTTTTTCCAATGTGCTTAAATGACTTCTCCACAAATTCACGGACGCTATGGACCTCCCCAGTGGCAATGACAAAGTCCTCTGGCTCATCCGTTTGCAGCATCAGCCACATGGCCTGTGGGAAAACAAACAGACAGATTCAGTGCAAATGTAAGTGGCCTCTTTGGTACATGATGTTATATTGCTGCATTTTTGATTTGAAGATAACACACACACGCACACCCCTCGCTTGGGAAATTAGCACTTTCCTAATTTGGCGGCTATTAACCAGTTCAGTGCAACTTTGAAAAGAGTTCAATTATTTCATATTATTGGAAACAATGCTATATTTGATTTTCAATTTGTTTCACAGCAGGGATTTTTTCAGGGGAGACTTTAATATGTTTACTTTTGAACTCTGAGGCTTGCTTTAGCGCTTAAGAGCATGGATTCATTTACTTAAAACACTGCATGCATTGAGACAGAGATGGGGGAAGAGAACAAAATTTTATAATGTTTCCATCCAAAGCGCTGTTATCTGTCATAGAATGATGCCAAACACTGAATCACAACAGGAGTCCTTCCGCTTCTTTCTTCTGCCTTGTTTGTTTTGGCTAAATAGGGATTTTAATTACAAATGAGTAATTAGAAAAGTAACAAAGAATAGTCAACACTGTATTTTACCAAATTAGCCTGTTTTTCCTGCTGAATATGTGTTGAATGTAACATATTACGGGACTGCAACAGAAAATTTTTCTTCTGACAGAAGAATACAAAAAATACAGATAGAACAACGAGACAACTGTTAACACTTCTCCTTCAGAGAACCTTTTGGAGAGTGACAAAGATCACAATGGCTTCTGAGGCACAACTTCACGGGTTTACCAACATTTTGGTATTTTTCAGGGGGATCTTTACTTCCCATGACTGTCTCTCTCCCACAGACACACCGATGAGCACCGTTGTTTAGATGGCCAGCTAAATCAACAAGAAAGCAGGCAAGCAGATGGAGAAAGTGGTACACAAGGACACATGTGCCTTGGCTGAGGTGTTACAACAGGTACATTTCAGTTTTCTGACACGGCTCTAGCCATTAGATGACTGCCTAGGACCTGTAGGCGGACAGAATAATTATTACTTTAGATCAATCAAAATGATCTAAACACTTCATTTCCTTTAGAAAGGAAAAGGGAATACCTGTACGGCATGATCCTTATTTAATAAATAACCAGAAGAGGAAAACAAAATAATTCAACTTTCTCGCCATATGGTAAAAAGGACTGTCATCTTCTCACAGTGTAATCCACAACGCTATTTGCATTGACCTTTTCACATCAGCTTTAAAGAAAACAACTTTAGTAGGTCCCTTGATGGTAGTGGATACTCTGCAAATCAGATTAATAAAAGCTTTGGGACAGCTCAGTTTCTCTTTGTAAATACCACCTGAAATACTCAATTCTGTCCCCCCCGCACCCCTCGATAAATCAAGCGTCCAGCATAGCAAGGCAACACATACCACTTAAATGGTTCTATTTGCAAGTCATTTTTCTTCCCAGTTATTATTTTATGCATCTTCCAAAGTTTTGACAAGATTTTATTAACATGTTCCTTTTGAACCTTTCTGCTTTTTGAATGTGCAGGGCAGGACGGGTTTTGAGCAACTGCTGTGTAAGTCCTTGACATTAATTGTGCTTCAGGGATATGACCTGCTGGGCAGGACAATGGCAGCAACTTTATTTTTCCTTTCCAGGGCTGAACATCCTAGCCAATGACGCAGAAATACCCGACTGGCTGATGAAACTCCTCTTGTGGGGAGGAGACATCTTAACTCGTATCTCTCCTATTAGCTTTCTTGGAACATTGGGGTTTCCCTGCTGATCTGAGAGGTCGTGCTAAATTGCCAACGCCTGTTTCTTCATGACTGGACAAACTTGCAAGATTCACAGTGGTAACAACATTATAGGAAGGCAAAAGGAATATTTTAAATACGTAATTGGTAGTTCTGGTTCTGCTAGCCTGGTCCCTGATTTCACAGAGCAGCTTATATTAAGCAGCCCAGAAAACAATGAAGCTTCCTTGTATGCAAAGGCACTGTTTGGGTGAATAAAGATTTCCAGGACAGCCAGTCAGAGTCAACATTTACAGTGGTTCTCCTCCTGACTTTAGGGGATGTTTGCTGTGCATAATGAATTCAAGATCTGCTCCTTTTTTTTTGCTGAGAATGTACACAGCACAACTGACAGAGATGTAACAACCAAACTTCACTTATTGATAAGAAAAATTCCCCCCACCTCAAACACCGTGTAGGACCTAACAGACCAAATTGGCAGAGAGATCTCCTATTTAGAATGCACTTCCATAAAACAGTATTAATATGTCTAAGGAAAAGCAGGATGGGACTTTTGATAACATTTGTCTATACTTCTGCTTTTAAACACCTTGATATTGTAACTCATTGGACGCAGTTTTAGTACAGGCACTTCTGCTGAGACATTCTACAATCCAGTGAGTACTTCAAATATTTAACGTTAATTTTGTCTAATAATACTAAATAGTGTTAGAACCTCGCCCCTTTTTACTCAAACACACGCGACACGTTGAAGGAGACAGCTACAAAGCAGAAGCCAAAAAACAGCCTCTGACAACGAGTCCTGCCAGGTTTCATACATTTAGATGTATCAACTCTTGTCTCCATTTCAAAGAGCAAGCAGTCACCGTCCTAGAAAAAAAACTTGAACCGCAGGGCCAACTTAGCAACGATCAAATACAGATACAGTTGCTAAAAGCAATTTTTGCTTCTTTTCCTACCAGGAAAGAATGTTTAGATTAATGATTAATTGAGAATCTATCGCTGCTGGTTCGTTTTATTTTTTCTGGCACTCATAACTGTTGGCACTTACAACTACCTCAGTCAAAATCAGGTATGAAAGAAATGAATGTGCTTAAAATCACAAAGCGAGAGATAGCTCTGTTTGCTTTGAGGAAGGCGACCAAACGCTGCTGCTTTGAATGGGTCTGCATGAACAGTTTGTGAAAAACGCAAAGGCAAGCTAGAGGATTGAAATATTTTTCATCAAACTCTGCATTCAAATCTTATTTTCCACAGGTAGAGCCTGTGTAACCAATGAGAAACTCGTGTGCAAGCAGTAGCCGTACATTTTCCCTACAGTAAGTGCCAGGAATGTGCTTCCCCCCCATCAGACTAATAAAGGCCCTTGACCTATCAATTCCTAGGCATTTCCTCCAAGAGTTCATATTGTACCAGACTCCAGGCTGAGAATGAGAGGAAAGGGGGAGATACAGCTCCAGGTTTATTTGTCATTACTGAATGGCTTACTGGTTTTAACAGAGGGGAAAAGCTTTGTTTAAATTTCCACTGAAAGTAATTAATGGTTATTGACTGGTAAATGAAGAACAGGTGACACTCTGAATTAGAAGATAAACGATCTCATGTTCTAGCGTGATAATGGGTTAGTAATTGCTACAAAACCTCAGCCTAGCGCGTCCCATCATAATGCTAGATCATGTCCAGAGCACAAAGGACTCTGTGTGAGAGGTATTCAGCCGTTCACCTCCTTATACAGCTGCGGAGTGATTTGGTCCATTTATTCTCTGATGGACTGCACGACTGAGGCAAAAGTTCACCCATTCTCACCTTCCTGTTCACATGCTGAACCACATGACCCATGACACGGCTGAACTGGGATAAAAACACTGCCCAGCTTTGGCTCTTGGCTATCTTTTAACCATCACAAGGTCGGATATTTTAGGAATTTTTGTGGTGCAGAAATGGAAAATCGTGGATTTTCCTGTATTTCTCTGTGAAGGCTTTTCTAGGTGGGCTGATGGCAAGTCAAGAAGCGTTGCCACCCTTTTTAGCTTCATCCAGTTAACAAAATGCAGGCAAATGCTGAAAAAAGGAGAAAATTACGACAGAAACAATTCAGGCTTCGGATCTCTTAAAATGATACTGTTCCTTTAATGGCAAATGTAGCAAAACATATTTTTCATATTTGAACTCTTCTTGGCTCTGGTCTAGTGACTCACAAAGTCTAAAGGCAATGCTATGTCATTTACATTTAAAGACAGAAAGCCAACTGCAGAGATACGTAGCAAGTCTTGCAAGCGGACACACTTTTATGATTATGTGGACTAGCGTATCTATTCTGCATGCCTGAACTACAACTTCTGCCAAAACCTTTCCTCTTTCATCTTTTCTTCTTTCCTTTTCTGTATATAAGCCCCTGCCAGAGCTAAGCACCATTTGCAAGTAACATATTCAAAATATGAACCAGTCTTTTTCCTGCCCAAATTTCTTAGCTTACACAGCATTTGCACTTCGGCTAGCAAAGGGAGAAACCCAGTCTGGACTAAGCAACCCTCCTATAGATACATGCTGTGCATGCCACTGCCATTATGGTTGAGATGGGTCTGCTTGTCTTGAGCATCTGGAGTATGTTGAAGCTGTGTTTCAACATTAACTTCCAGTCCAGCATTGCAGTGAGAAAACATTTATTAACTGGGCTGTCATCCATGGATAACAAAGACTTGTTAGTTGAGGTTATGTTTAACTCTATTTATTTGATACTTTTCTTTCACTGTATGCTCTAGTACTGTGTATTGTTAAGAAGGGATCAGGGACCAGTAATCAGATATCTGTCTATTTAAGAGAAAAAAGAAATACAAATCCAACACTGAGGCTTTAAAGTATAACTGATGATTTCTGCTCTCGAAATAGAAGTTGATTTTTGAAGAGGAGTGAAGCTGAGAAGATCCCAGCTCACGACAGACCCAAAACAGACATGACTGAATGTGATACACATTCAGAGACACACAGTGTGATCAGTGGAAAATATTCCTGTTGGTGCGATTACTATTGCCTTGTGCTGCTCCCCAGCATTTTTTCCAAGTCCTATAATGTCAAAAAAATACTTCACACATACTTCTAAGTATTATGCAGAAAACTTCTGACTTCCTTGTATTTCTCACACACGTACAAAAACTCAAACCAAATCAGTAACATTTACTTTAGGAGATGGAATAGATAGTTGCAGCCTGATGCAGGGTGCATTGTCCATGTGTAGCAGAGACAAAACAGCAGTGACTGGTGAATGTCTAGCTCTACTTACTTATCAC